TTCAGGGGATGTTTAGGTCTTCAGAGAGATGTTTAGGTCTTCAGGGGGATGTTTAGGTCTTCAGGGAGATGTTAGGTCTTCAGGGGATGTTTTAGGTCTTCAGGGAGATTTTTTAGGTCTTCAGGGGATGTTTAGGTCTCAGGGGGATGTTTAGGTCTTCAGGGGGATGTTTAGGTCTTCAGGGGGTGTTTAGGTCTTCAGGGGATGTTTAGGTCTTAGGGGATGTTTAGGTCTTCAGAGAGATGTTTAGGTCTTCAGGGGGAAAGTTAGGTCTTCAGGGGATGTTTAGGTCTTCAGGGAGATGTTTAGGTCTTCAGGGAGATGTTTAGGTCTTCAGGGGGATGTTTAGGTCTTCAGGGGGATGTTTAGGTCTTCAGGGAGATTTTAGGTCTTCAGGGGATGTTTAGGTCTTCAGGGGGATGGTTTTAGGTCTTCAGGGATGTTTAGGTCTTTAGGGGATGTTTAGGTCTTCAGGGGGATGTTTAGGTCTTCAGGGGGATGTTTAGGTCTTCAGGAGATGTTTAGGTCTTCAGGGAAGTGTTTAGGGCTTCAGGGGATGTTTAAGGTCTTCAGGGGATGTTTTTGGTCTTCGGGGATGTTTAGGTCTTCAGGGGATGTTTAGGTCTTTAGGGGATTTTTTAGGTCTTCAGGGGGATGTTTTGGTCTTCAGGGGGATGTTTAGGTCTTCAGGGGATGTTTTTGGTCTTCAGGGGGATGTTTAGGTCTTTAGGGGATGTTTAGGTCTTCAGGAGATGTTTAGGTCTTCAGGGGGATGTTTAGGTCTTCAGGGGATGTTTAAGGGCTTCAGGGGATGTTTGGTCTTCAGGGGGATTTTAGGTTTTTCAGGGGATGTTTAGGTCTTTTAAAGGGAGATGTTTAGGGTCTTCAGGGGGATGTTTAGGTCTTCAGGGAGATGTTTAGGTCTTCAGGGGTGTTTAGGTCTTCAGGGGGATGTTTAGGTCTTCAGGGAGATGTTTAGGTCTTCAGGGAGATGTTTAGGTCTTCAGGGGGATGTTTAAGTCTTCAGGGAGATGTTTAGGTCTTCAGGGGGATGTTTAGGTCTTCAGGGAGATGTTTAGGTCTTCAGGGAGACTGGGGTTTAGGTCTTCAGGGAGATGTTTAGGTCTTCAGGGGGATGTTTAGGTCTTCAGGGGGATGTTTAAGGGCTTCAGGGAGATGTTTAGGTTTTTCAGGGGATGTTAGGTCTTCAGGGGGTTTTTTAGGTCTTCAGGGAGATGTTTAGGTCTTCAGGGAGATGTTTAGGTCTTCAGGGGGATGTTTAGGTCTTCAGGGAGATGTTTAGGTCTTCAGAGAGATGTTTAGGTCTTCAGGGGATGTTTAAGGGCTTCAGGGAGATGTTTAGGTCTTTTAGGGGATTTTTAGGTTTCAGGGAGATGTTTAGGTCTTCAGGGGGATGTTTAGGTCTTCAGGGAGATGTTTAGGTCTTCAGGGAGATGTTTAGGTCTTCAGGGGGATGTTTAAGGGCTTCAGGGGGATGTTTAGGTTCTTAGGGAGTGTTTAGGTCTTCAGGGGGATGTTTGGTCTTCGGGGTTTTTTAGGTCTTCAGGGGGATGTATTTGGTCTTCAGGGAGATGTTTAGGTCTTCAGGGGATGTTTAGGTCTTTCAGGAGTGTTTAGTCTTCAGGGAGATGTTTAGGTCTTCAGGGGGATGTTTAGGTCTTCAGGGAGATGTTTTAGGTCTTCAGGGGTGTTTTGTCTTCAGGGAGATGTTTAGGTCTTCAGGGGGATGTTTAGGTCTTCAGGGAGATGTTTAGGTCTTCAGGGAGATGTTTAGGTCTTCAGGGAGTGTTTAGGGCTTCAGGGGGATGTTTAGGTCTTCAGGGGAATGTTTAGGTCTTCGGGGATGTTTAGGTTTTTCAGGGAGATGTTTAGGTCTTCAGGGGGATGTTTAGGTCTTCGGGGATGTTTAGGTCTTCAGGGAGATGTTTAGGTCTTCAGGGGGGTTGTTTTGGTCTTCAGGAGATGTTTAGGTCTTCAGGGAGATGTTTAGGTCTTCAGGGAGATGTTTAGGTCTTCAGGGAGATGTTTAGGTCTTCAGGGGAATGTTTAGGTCTTCAGGGGGATGTTTAGGTCTTTAGGGAGATGTTTAGGTCTTAGGGAATGTTTAGGTTTCAGGAGATGTTTAGGTTTCAGGGAGATGTTTAGGTCTTCAGGGGATGTTTAGGTCTTCGGGAGATGTTTAGGTCTTTAGGGAGGGTGTTTAGGTCTTCAGGGGGATGTTTAAAGGGCTTTAGGGGGATGTTTAGGTTCAGGGAGATGTTTAGGTCTTCAGGGATGTTTAGGTCTTCAGGGAGAATTTTTTAGGTCTTCGGGGAGTTTAGGTCTTCAGGGAGATGTTTAGGTCTTCAGGGAGATGTTTAGGTCTTCAGGGGGATGTTTAGGTCTTCAGGGAGATGTTTAGGTCTTCAGGGAGATGTTTAGGTCTTCAGGGAGATGTTTAGGTCTTCTGGGAGATGTTTAGGTCTTCAGGGAGATGTTTAGGTCTTCAGGGAGATGTTTAGGTCTTCAGGGAGATGTTTAGGTCTTCAGGGGGATGTTTAGGTCTTCAGGGAGATGTTTAGGTCTTAGGGAGATGTTTAGGTTTCAGGGGATTGTTCGGTTTTCTTCGGCGGGAAAGTTTAGGTCTTTAGGGAGATGTTTTGGGCTTTCTAGGGAGATGTTTAGGTCTTCGGGAGATGTTTAGGTTTCAGGGAGATGTTTAGGTCTTCAGGGGAATGTTTAGGTCTTTAGGGGGTGTTTAAAGGGCTTCAGGGAGATTTTAGGTCTTCAGGGAGATGTTTAGGTCTTCAGGGAGATGTTTAGGTCTTCAGGGAGATGTTTAGGTCTTCAGGGAGATGTTTAGGTCTTCAGGGAGATGTTTAGGCAGCTTCTAGTGGATATTAGTTAGTTAGTTTAATATGTTTATTAAGCACCACATACCCATCCTGTGGGTGGCAGTCAGAAGATTACTGAGGTACATAATGGGTCCAGGAACTGGATCCCAATGTTTTGATAGCTGAACAAAGTACAAACGTAATGAACTCCAGGTAGATCTGGTCACAATCATGATGAGTTACAAACTTAATGAACACCTACACATCCGTACGTAGTTACAATCATGAAAGTGTACTTTTGGTGTAAGATAAGTCTGGTGGAGAGGGGGAACTCAACGAGAATATGGCACAGGATGCATGTTGACATTTGTAGCTTCAGGACTCTCTCTCTCATACTTGGTAATGATTGTTGATGACTTAAATATATCTGATACTTATTTCCGCCTCCTTTTAAAATACTTTTATTAGTTTATGCTGCTGGGTGTCTTCTTTCTCTAATTTTGGGTTTCTTTGTGTGATATTCACGGCACACAGTGCCCTCAATCACGTCATCTCCACTGCCTCCAGTCATCTCCGCTTCTTCCAGTCTTCTCTTGCCAAGTTTACACCCTCACGCCACTGTACTCTAGGAAATTTTTCCCCTGTTCCATTCATTGAGTAACGGCTTTCTTTTCACAGATGGCTCAGCACACACCCATCTGTCCTCCCTCATACATTCTATGGTTCATCTCGTATTCCATAGGTACGCCTGCTGCGTCCACTTCTAGATATCTAAATAAACACACTGAATCAGATTTCCTTCCCTCGAATCTAGAAAGCAATCGTTCATTGCCTAGTCTTTTTTATCTAATTCCTATTACCTTGATTTCTCTTTACTGTCGCTTATAAATTCCTTGTTTTACACGGTGTTTTAAAAGTCAGTTCGTCTCCCAGCGAGGTACAGTGACTCAACAAAGAAAAAAGCACTTCCACTGTCACTTATTCAATCACTTTCTTGCCAGAAGAGCGCTGACATTACGGTTCAGATAACCTTTCTAACCACAGCATCCTCACTCTTCCAAATTCATCCATCATACCTTGTAACTTTTCTTCAGAGTCTCTCGGAACTGTACCATCGACAAATAGCAACGCCCACTTTTCGTCAGAGTCCAACACACCTCTTCCTAACACCCTAGCATCAATTTCTGTTGCAAGTCCATGACGCATCCTTGATAAGGCCTGACTTTACTGACAAATCTTCCCTTTCTCTCCTACATACCCTAATCTCTTCAGTGTTTCAGGAGTCAGCTACCTATTGTATACATTTGCATCATCTGCCTCATTACTCCAGTATCCACTCTATCATATACTCTTCTAAAATCATAACTGTAACCAACATTTCTCCAGCCTTACGCTAGTATTGTTCTCTTACATGCTTCATCTCCTACCCTTCCTAAATCCTCCTTGTTCCTCTGCTATCCTACTTTCTGCTTTACACCTAACATAAAATACCAATTCTATCATACACCCCAGAAGTTTGTTCCCTATAATTCTTACACTCTCTAGTTCCCTCTTCCCTTACACAAAGAAACTATATATGTTACCTCCTAATCCCTATAGAATATGTAGCCACCAAAATAATATGCTTGCAGTAAATAATTCGAAATTAATACATTTCGTCAGTATTTATAACAATTTAAGCATTGAATCAAAACAATTAATGGTCTAATAGACAGTGGCATATGCCAGTCAGAAAGACTCGCTTCCACTACTCTAAAACAATACTTGAATCATAAGAGATGCAGAGTATTGTAGTAATTTAATCTGACCTGCCAGAACCCTGAACCCAAGATATAAAACTCATTACTTGATTATTAATGTTTACTAATTAAACTACTGGCATCGCCAGTAGTACGATTAGTCACTCATCTTGCACTCTTTGCTCATTGTCAACTGAGCGGAGAGTGCAAGACGATTAAGTCATCCTGTATATTGGACACACATTGAGGCCCTCTGGCCGAACAAGCTTTCAGTTTGAGGCCTCAATACACAGTTCTTATCCTCTGTTAGAGTATCTCTGCGTGAGATCGTTTGCCACGTTCTAAAAAGAAATTTACACAAATGAATCGAGCTTCAGGGTTTCCAATGTGACATCAGCAGCCACCAGATCCTGTGTGAGTCAACCTCCGTTCTCTCCTCCTCGTGAATGACGCGACATTCGCCAGTTGGACTCACGTCTACCACAGTTACTTCTTTGGGTGTCTCTGCCTGGTTACTGCATATACATATATACCAGTGTTTCATAACAGGTATTTCATATATACTAGCCTCTCAGCAGAACAACAAAGTATATATACCAGTATCTTTTTGACAAGTACACAGAAGTGAGCAGTTCCATGTGTAGCACATATACATCTTCAGAGAGGTGAGCTGAGGAAACAAGAGACGCCTGTTTTATACGTTCCTGGGTGAATGTCTCAGTTTTAAACTTAAATCATATCAAGATAAAACGCCAGGCAGGTTCCTCCCACTCACACTTCCCAAACCCATGTCTTCAAGTTCCCCACAAACACATGACCACTGGCAGGTGGCCTAGGTGGGTGTCTGGAAGAAGGGTTGCAGTGTGAGTGAGAGGAACCTACCTCAGGTACTACCTTCACTTACGAACCTAATATGTGCTTCCTCTCTTTATTCTCACTCTGATGATGATGGGTATCAACGCACATGAAACCACCCGACTAGGACTGTTTTGCACTCTTTTGTGCAGGTTCGACTCCTGCTGTGGACTGATAGGTAAAATTGGTCAATTAGCAAGAAGTCATTTAAAAGTAAGTCTTTTCTACAATTTTCTCTTATATACGTTTAAAGATATATTTTTTTCATTTATGTTAATGCAAAATTAATAATTTTGTACCAAAGAACCTTAGAAAACTTACCTGATCTTATTATAACAAGCGCAGTTTAGCCTAATCTAACTAAATATATTTTAGTTAAGTTTACAATAATTTAATAATAAACAAACACAATAAAATATTTTTTTTTCGTTAGGTTCAGAATGATTTTTGCGAAATTATTGCATACACAAATTTTCGCTTGCCTTATTCGGCAAGAAGAACGTTGCTGTTTAAGCCAGAATTGTATGTATAATATCGTTAGAATGCATATGCTAGTTTGTTAGGTTTAATTCTATCAACTGACCGGACCGTGGGGGGCGTTGACCCCCGAAACTTTCTCCAGGTATACTTCTGTTATACTCCAGGTATACTCCTGTTATACTCCAGGTATACACGTGGGTAGTTTTTTCACTTGCATTCTAGGGTAAAGAATGTTTTAATACTTAAAGTAAGGATATATACCTGAAGTATACCTCTCTGTGTACGTGTATAACTGAGATATATATGCACCTCTGAATATATGCAGTCAGAGATATACTCCCATTTCACAAGCAGTGTCCGCGGTTCGATCCCTGGTAAGGGTGAAAACACTGAGCGTGTTTTGTTGCTCCTGTTGTTCCCGTTCACCTAGCAAGCAAGTAGGTCCCTGGGTGTTAGTCGACTGGTGTGGGTAGCATCCTGGGGTGGGGATTCAAGGACCATAATGTAAATCAGACAGACAGTCCTTGATAACGCATCAATGGAAATAAGTCACTATGTGTGACTTTTTTGGGTTATCCCAGGTTCTCTACGCATAATGCTGCTATGTATGATACTCTATGTAACTGTATTTGTGTATACCTGAGTCAACTTACTTACTTCCACTGACTTTCTTGGGCTATCCTGGGTGACTAACCCTACGGGGTTAAAAATCTTAAGCATCTCTCTTTATATGTATTGAAATGTATATACATGTTTATTCACCCCTCGGTATATGTACATTGAGAGGTATACACTTCTGTGTATATACACTGAGACATATATGCCTTTTTGTATATTTATAGAGATATACATCTCTCTGTGTATATATACCAAGTTTAGACCTTTCCTTGAGTATACACTGAGAGATATACATTCTTCCGTGTGTATACACTGAGTTATACAACTCTCCCTGTATATACACTGAGAGATATACATTCCCACGTATACATCCTCACTGATTAAAATAATTATGTATATCGCATTCTCTTCTACCAGAGGTGAGCGGGCAACCACACGCACAAACAAACACAATCCCAATGAGTGGGCTTGGTTTGGCGCTCGTGGGCGCCCTGGTGGCAGCGTGGGTGGTCATGGGCGGCCTGGTGGAGGCAGTTGAGCTGCTGGAGTGTGGGCGTGGGTGTACCTGCCAGAATAAAACCGAACAGTTCGACGTCGTGAAGTACGAAGTAATCTGCGAGGACGCCACTGAACAGGTAAGTTACCCCTCAACAACTGCCGTTTTCTATGACTTTCACCTTTGGAGAAAACGGAGATTTTGGAGGGGGCACCTCGATGTTGGTGCAGGGCTCTTGATCCTAGGAATTATAGCTACCTTTATCGTTTCCTCTGGGACAGACTTCATCTCGTTTCCTCAGGTACCCCCCAGCGGGTAACCCCAGGTACCCCCCAGGTCCGTGGCCTGGTCGGTAACGCTCTCGCTTCACACGCTGAGGTCCGTGGTTTGATCCCCGGTATGGGTAGAACCCACAGCTGGATTTACCTATAGGCTTGACAAGCTGAAGCCTCGGGATTTCAAAATCTAGGAGACCTCCGGCCAAGGGGTATACTATTTTTGACACTGTCATAGGGTTTTCTTACACATGCTATCATAACACGCTGTAGTCTCTACACAACTCCTCAGTAATGTTACTTGTAGTCCAGAATAATAATAATAATAATATAGATCGACACCATGCCTAACCCTTCTAGGGTAGGGTAGGTGCCTGAGTCCGAGCCTTTAGCTCATAAGACTGTCATTCCCATTTGCTCCTTTGGGACGGGGATGGCAGACCAGAGAGGCCTAGCTTGTGGCTAGGCCTGGGGACAGTTGGTCCCAAAGATGAGGAGGTACTTGTGCCTCCTCCCATGGGAGACTTCGGTCTCAGACACTCCCTAAAGAGGGAGACAAGGCCGGGCCACCACTTGGAAAAGGCCCGGCCGGGAGAATACCCGCTAATCTTTAATAATAATAATAATAATAATAATAATCTTTATTTATACAAGTACATGTACAAGGTATACACACCATAGTTAACATCAATGACATACTACTATATAGAAAGCCGCTTGTTATGCAGAGCATTTCACGCAAATTAGATAAATTTTGTCCCCAGGATGCGACCCACACCAGCCGACTAACACCCAGGTACCTATTTTACTACTAGGTGAACAGGGACAGCAGGTGTCTTATAGACACGCGTTCTAATGTTTTCCAGCCGTACTGCAGTACCGTCCTAAGCCAATAACTTGACACAAGCACTGATTTCTGTATTGATTTTGCCCTTCCAGGAAAGCAATGAGACAGATAAGTTGACTATACCAGGCTTCAGGCTAACAATCTCAAGCAGAAAATGGAAGAACTGGAAGTCAGTTTGGTTTAATATGTTTATTAAGCATCCCATACCCATCCTGTGGGCGGTAGTCAAAAGATTTCAGAGGTACATAATGGGTCCAGGGACTGGACCCCAAAGTTATGATAGCTGATCTAGTTGCGAAGGTAATGAACTCCAGGTGGATATGGTCACAAGTTACAAAGGTAATGAACCATCTACATTTCTATGCGTGGTTACAATCGTAAATAAATTACAAAGAACTAGAAGTTGTGTTTATGCTGCATTTATAGATCCGTGTGTTAGGTCATTTTGACAAGGTCAACCAAGCCATTCAGAAACCACAACTGTTACTGAGTACTTGTGTATGGTTGTACACTTCACTTTAGGATTTTCTAAGCAAAATTACAGAAGATTTTGATGAGATTAATCAACAAACAAAAGCCACCTTGACAAATGTTAACAACAGAACTGTCACAAGGAGACGAAGAGTAAGGGAACTGAGGGAAGTGCACCTGGTTCTGATGCCTTACCTGGAGTTTACCTGGAGAGAGTTCCGGGGGTCAACGCTCCCGCGGCCCGGTCTGTGACCAGGCCTCATGGTGGATCAAGGCCTGATCAACCAGGCTGTTACTGCTGGCCGCACATAATCCAACGTACGAACCACAGCCCGAGTGATCAGGCACTGACTTTAGTTGCCTGTCCAGTGCCTGTTTGAAGACAGCCAGGGGTCTAATGGTAATCACCCTGATGTATGCTGGGAGGCAGTTGAACAGTTTTGGGCCCCTGACACTTATTGTGTTGTCTCTTATCGTGCCAGTGGCACCCCTGGTTTTCACTGGGGGTATGTTGCACCGTTTGCCGAGCCTTTCTGATGCTGCACGATTTTTTCCTTTCTTGCTAATCTGACACCATCTAAGAAATTCATCAAGGTGTTGACCTGTTGATGGCAACATAACCCAGATGATGTTGACCTGAGTCTTACTAATGAACTTTTGCACTTTGACCTACTTACCCGTACGTGAGACAAAGCCATAGGCCTACAGAAGAGAAGCCACTGTCTCATACAGACCTTTATCAAATTACTATATACAAGGAAAAAATTCGAATGGCCTTCACTAAGGTGGATGATTTTGCTATGAAGAAGACTAGAAAAAACTTATATATATATATATATATATATATATATATATATATATATATATATAAAATATATATATATATATATATATATATATTTTAAGGTAGGACATCTAGAACTTTGCTGGGGACCCTCATCCTCAGAGAAGATAATAAACGTACCTCAGGGAAAACTCAAGGTTCTCCCCGGAGCTGTTTGAGTATTCTCTTCTCCTACCATCCCCTATATTTTATATTCTATATGAAATTTTATTAAAAGACAGAATACATTGACAGAAAACACAAACATGGATACATTGGTACATTATAGCAAAGGTTACGAATCTCCTCCACCTCCCCCGAAGCTGGACGCGAGCCCAGTATGCAGCATGCATTACCCCTCTGGATGGCCACGCTGAGGCGCTGGAACATGAAAGTGGCTGCCCTTGTGTCCCTGGTGGTGTCGATGAGTCTGGAACTCAGTTCTTTAAGGACACGTGTGGCATTTTTTCTCCATGATCCCAAGGTCTCTGATCCCACTGGGACAAATCGATACTGTTGGCTTATGTCCCTGTACTTGTTGATCTTGTACTCCTCCCTGTGGTCAGCAGCTCCTCCCTGTCGCCCCACACTGTGATGGATATAGGTGTCAGCCAGTGTGGACACACAGGTATAGTCCCATGCTAAGAGCTTGCCATTCTTCCAAGGATAGATGGTGATTCCATCTGGGCGGTTTGCTGGGTTGTGGGTATTGTTGGCTGCTAGTGATCGGGGCTCCCTCTCGGCTGGGCATCCAGCTGTGGCAAGGGTTCTCTTTATGATGTTGTTGACTTCATTGTGTCTTGCCTGCCAGCCCTTGGTTTTGAAAGTTAAGACAATGTAGACCATATTGGTCGGCTTGCGCTTCACCGCAAATACACGTACAGTCCGTGTAAATTGGGACAGCAATGCGCAGAACCACTGCAATACGGAAGGTTTTAGGGTCGAGGCGTGTTCTCATTGTCGAAATGGGAACTGTTTAGAGGAAGTGCCCAGAGTGATGTGCACTCACAGCCTGGAGAAGGGCAATCTCCCTATCTGATGTTGCAGCACTGAGCATGTTAGCAAGCATCTTTTCAGCGATCGGGCCATCCCAGCTTGACTGTTTGTGAGCCAGTGCTGCACTAGGGTTTGGTGCTGGAGCAGCAAGAGTCTCCCATTCAGTGATGGCACTGGCATAGCTAGGCTCCTGTATTCCTGCTGAGTCACTGAGGTTGTCTGGAAGAATTTGCTTCATTAGCTCATTTGATGCTATGGAAGAGGATACGAAAGTTGATAAGGCTTTTATATGTATATGTGTGTGTGTGTGTGTGTGTGAAGCGGTAAACCCTTGTGGGCCTTCAGCGCAAGTGACGGAGAAAAGTAAATCACTCCCACCGAGAATCCTCCCCTCCCTTCCTCTCCCCTTCACTCTCCCCTCCCTTCCTCTCCCCTTCACTCCCCCCTCCCTTCCTCTCCCCTTCACTCTCCCCTCCCTTCCCTACATTAAGAAGCGGCGTCAGCGGCGCCACACCACCGGATGTTATGTTGTCGTCAGTACTGGAGACGGATGGTCCGCCACGCTCCCTTATGTCGTAAACTTTCACCCACTATTAATGTCCACAACATTATTATACTCAACTGACGAAGACAAAACTACCAACGATGACAGTTTCACTCATCTGTTATTTTCTTATTTTTCATTTCGGTATATAAGTTATTATTAAATGTAGATGGATGTGTGTGTGTGTGTGTGTGTGTGTGTGTGTGTGTGTGTGTGTGTGTGTGTGTATGTTACCTGGAGGTTATTCCGGGGATCAACGCCCCCGCGGCCCGGTCCATGACCAGGCCTCCCGATGGATCAGGGCCTGATCAACTAGGCTGTTACTGCTGGCCGCACGCAGTCCAACGTACGAGCCACAGCCCGGCTGATCCGGAACTGACTTTAGATATCTGTCCAGCTCTCTCTTGAAGGCAGCCAGGGGCTTATTGGCAATTCCCCTAATGCTTGATGGGAGGCTGTTGAACAGTTTTGGGCCCCGGACACTTATGGTGTTTTCCCTTAGTGTACCAATGGCGCCCCTACTTTTTATTGGGGACATTTTGCATCCCCTGCCCAGTCTTTTACTTTCGTAGGGAGTGATTTCTGTGTGCAGATTTGGGACCATTCCTTCCAAGATTTTCCAAGTGTAGATTATGATATATCTCTCCCTCCTGCATTCCAACGAGTACAAGTCAAGTGCTTCCAAGCGTTCCCAGTAGTTAACGTGCTTGACAGAACTTATACGTGCAGTAAAGGATCTCTGTACACTCTCTAGATCTGCGATTTCACCTGCTTTGAATGGAGATGTTAATGTACAGCAGTATTCCAGCCTAGAGAGAACAAGTGATTTGAAAAGGATCATCATTGGCTTGGCATCTCTCGTTTTGAAAGTTCTCATTATCCATCCTATCATTTTCTTTGCACGTGCGATCGTGGCACTGTTGTGATCCTTGAAAGTGAGATCCTCAGACATTACTACTCCCAGGTCCCTTACATTATTTTTCCGCTCTATTGTATGGCCGGAGTCAGTAGTATACTCTGTTCTAGTTATTATCTCCTCCAGTTTTCCATAACGGAGTAGTTGGAATTTGTCCTCATTGAACATCATATTGTTTACCGTTGCCCACTGGAAAACTTTGTTTATATCTTCTTGGAGGTTAACCGCGTCCTCAGCAGATGACAGCCTCATGCAGATCCTTGTATC